TCTCCCCTTTCTCCCTTTCAGCTTTGTGATGTCAGCGGTCTGTGTTCGCTTTTTTTCACTAACGCCTTCTTCCCGACCAGGCGGCGCCTCCTGGCTCTGGCGGTTCGGTGTGGGGCAAAAAACAGCTTTTTCAGGATGTTTAAGCCCTTAACTACTCGGCACCTCGTCAACATTTCGTAGTAGAAAGAGGGGTGCCACGTATTGCGGCAGAGGCTGGTAAGCGGGTGCAATGCGAATTCCTTGCCCGCACTCTTCCTAAGTACAGCTGTCGTCTGTTTTCTCTTTTATTTTACAACCCAATCAATAGTGTCATGCATGACATGCCCAACAGCAACCCTGTGCACAGCCGGGAGGCCCCTACTGCGCGCGTACGTAATCCAGAAGCGGGCAAGAAATTTCGCATTGCAGCCGCTCTCTCTCTCTCTCTCTCTCTCTCTCTCTTTCTCTCTCTCTCTCTCTCTCTCTCTATATATATATATATATATATATATATATATATATATATATATATATATATATATATATATATATATATATATATATATATATATATATATATATATATATATATGGACTGACGGCGGAGACACTGCGCCGACAAACGACTCCGATGCAAAGATCAAGAGATCAGCTGACAGTGACCATATAGCTGCTGTCACAATCATAATAATTTTTTTTGCTGGACTTTTACGTGTGAGGATCACTAATGACTATGATGCATGATGCATGCTGTTGCAGGCAACTCCGGAATGATTTTGATCACCTGCGATTGTTCACACCTCTTCACACCTGAACGATTTCCTGACACCTTCCAGTTTACCAAATAACTCCCACCCCCAACAACAACCAACAATCATCCACTTCTTCCAGTAAAAGCCCCAAACATTGCTTGACATGAAACCAAATATTTCCTTTTAAATGTTCCTGCTAACACAGAGCGATAAAATAGTTAATGACTCCACTTACGGATAAACAGATTGCTTTTGTTTTGTTGTTGTAAGTGCTAGACATATTCATACACCTGTTTACACCCCAGCACTTCTGTCAAAACGAAGTGGTACAGATGCACGTCAGCAGTCCGTGGAGTTCTACAAGAAACACAGTGCCATATGGAGTACTTCTTCAATTACATGGATTTCCATGCGCTATCATTGTGCAAGGTAATCTGGAGTAAAATCATGTATTGTACATCGCTTTCATCGGTTAAATATGGCACTGCATGTAAAGTCATCCAATGACCTTGGTTTATGCTGATTGATTCACGATTGCGTAAGCAGAGAAGTTTCCGTAAAATCACACATCTTGAAATTTCTGTATTTGCCAAGTTTTGAAATGAAGGTTACAACAATTAGTGCATCTTAGTCGTTTCACTTAACCAATGACTTTAGCAAATGAAGCCCAGTACTTCAATAGTTCGGTTTATTATTATGGGCACAGTATTGCGGCCGTATAAACAGTAGATTAAAGTGCGGCGATGGCGTAGTAGTTAGAGCAAGAGAACTGGGAGTGGGGTTCCTAATTCGCAGAACATAGCTGGCAACCATAGAGGAATACTATAGCATTAATGAAAGGGTGGTAGTATCGAATTAAACTGAATAAAAAATACAAGATGAAGGTAGTACAGGCTTACGCGCCTACATCCAGCCATGATGACGCTTCAGTTGAAAGCTTCTATGAAGACGTGGAATCGGAATGAGTAAGGTAAAAACACAGTATACTATAGTGATGGCGACTTTAATGCAAAGGAGGGAAGAAGCAGGCTGGAGACCAGGCAGTAGGAGATTATGGCATCGGCACTCGGCGCGGCGGTCAGATCTGCAACGCAGCAGAGGGTGCTAAGAATCTCTAGATCCGAACAGGCAGCCATTGGAACCTGAACTTGGCAACGTTTAACGCTAGAACCTTATCTAATGAGGGAAGTCTAGCTGTACTATTCGAGGAGCTAGAGGGTGTTAAATGGGATATAATAGGGCTCAGTGAGGTTAGGAGGACAGATGAGGTCTCGAATTCACCTAGACTTGAAGAAGGAACGACAGAAACTGATACGCAAGAAGCAAATCAATGAGCTAGCACTGAGAGGGAAAGTACAGGGATTCAGAGTGTCGCTGCAGAACAGGTACTCGGCTCTTAGTGAGGAAACCAACCTTAGCGTAGATACAATGATGATAATCTGACGAGTATTATTATTGAGTGGGCAGTGTATGTTGGAGGCAGTGTAGCTAGACAGGACACTGGCAAGCTTTCCCAGGAAACGAAGAACCTAATTAAGAAGCGTCAAATCATGAAAGTGTCAAGTACAACAGACAAAATAGAACTGGCAGAGCTTTCGAAGTTGATTAATAGACGTAAGGTATGGGGTGTAAGAAGGTATAACATGGAGAGAATTGAACACGCTCTGAAAAACGGAGGAAGCGTCAAAGCAGTGAAGAGGAAACTTGGGCTAGGCAAAAGTCGGATGTATGCAATAAGGAACACAGAAGGCAAAATAACTACCAATATGGATAGGATACTTCAAATAGCCGAGGAGTTTTACAGAGATCTGTACAGTAGGCGAGACAACCACGACCTTAATACTACAAGAACTAGCAGGAACCCAGATGACACCCCACCAGTAATGATATAAGAAGTCAGAAAAGCTTTGGAGAGCATGCAAAGAGGCAAAGCTGCTGGTGAGGATCAGGTAACGTCAGATCTGCTGAAAGATGGAGGACAGATTGTGTTAAAAAAACTAGCCACCCTGTTTACGAGGTGTCTCCTGACGGGAAAAGTACCAGAGTCTTGGAAGAACGCTAACATCATCTTAATACATAAGAAAGAAGATGACAAGGACTTGAAAAATTACAGGCCGATCAGCTTGCTCTCTGTAGTGTACAAGCTATTTACAAAGGTAATTGCTAACAGAGTAAAGAAAACATTAGAATTCAATCAACCAAAGCAACAAGCAGGATTTCGAACAGGCTACTCAACAATTGACCATATTCACACTATCAATCAGGTAATAGAAAAATGCTCAGAGTATAACCAACCACTATACATAGCCTTCATAGATTACGAGAAGGCGTTTGATTCAGTAGAAATATAAGCCGTCATGCAGACACTGCGGAATCAGGGTGTCGATGAAGTATATATGAACATTCTGGAAGAAATCTACAGGGGATCAACTGCTATTATAGTGCTTCATAAAGAAAGCAACAGAATACCAATCAAGAAGGGTGTAAGGCAGGGGGACACAATCTCCCCAACGCTATCTACCGCGTGCTTACAGGAGGTTTTCAGAAGCCTAGAACGGAAACAGGGATAAGAGTTAATGGAGAATAGCTTAGTAACATGCGCTTCGCCGATGACATTGCATTGCTGAGTAACTCAGGGGACGAATTGCAACTCATGATTACGGAGTTAGACAAGGAGAGCAGAAAGGTGGGTCTTAAAATTAATCTGCAGAAAACGAAAGTAATGTACAACAACCTCGGAAAGGAGCAGCGCTTCGAGATAGGTAACAGTGCACTTGAAGTTGTAAAAGACTATGTCTACTTAGGGCAGGTAATAACTGCAGAGCCGAACCACGAGATTGAAGTAACTAGAAGAATAAGAATGGGGTGGAGCACATTTGGCAAGCACTCTCAAGTTATGACAGGTAGATTGCCACTATCCCTCAAGAGGAAGGTATATAACAGCTGTATCTTGCCGGTACTTAGCTACGGAACAGAAACCTGGAGACTTACAAAGAGGGTTCAGCTTAATATGAGGACAATGCAGCGAGCAATGGAAAGAAAAATGGTAGGTGTAACCTTAAAAGACAAGAAGAGAGCAGAGTGGATTAGGGGACAAACGGGGGTTAAGGATGTCATAGTTGAAATAAAGAAAAGGAAATGGACATGAGCCGGGCATGTAGCGCGTAGACAGGATAACAGCTGGTCGTTAAGGGTAACTAACTGGATTCCCAGAGAAGAGAAGCGGGTTAGGGGGAGACAGAAGGTTAGGTGGACAGATGAGATTGAGAAGTTTGCGGGTAGAAATTGGCAGCAGCAAGCACAGGGCCAGGTTAACTGGCGAAACATGGGCGAGGCCTTTGTCCTGCAGTGGACGTAGTCAGGCTGATGATGATGATGATTGTTTAACATGTATATGACTATAACCACGCTGGTGTTAGTTGAATTTAGCCCCACGCTATCATATAATCTACATCAGTGAAATCCGACCTCACGCTGATAGTTATGCCTGTAAAGCGTAAGTGCGTACAATGCAGCACTGACTACTGTATGCCATCGAGCGTTTAAGCACCTCGTGTGCCGAGATGCGGCCTCATGCTCTTCACTATACGCTTACCCGCACGTTACCTTAGTGGCATAAGATGTCTTTAAGTACATATGGCACCTCATTGACTAAAGGCGTCACCAGAAATTTTTTCGTGGGATTAGACTCTTTATCAATGTTCCAGCATGTGTTTGTACATATGCTCATATATGTACATATAAAAATGTATACTTTTAACAGCAGCATTTAAACGCCATAGAATCATTACGTTGTTGCAAGAGACGCAACCCGTGCAAGAGTGTTAACTCAAGCGATGCACAACAGTGCACATTTATCACAAAAATGGCCTTCCTTCATCTTTCCATCGGGATAATATGGCTGAGGTTTCCGAAATTTCCTATACAGGTAGTAAATTTTAAATTTCAATTTGGCCATATTACAAGTCTAACGAAAGTTTGAGTCTTCTTTACATCTCAGTGCACTCAAATTTTAATCAATATCTTTAGAAGCAAGAAGGCGTCATAGAAATAAGGCCCAACCCTCACTTTTTCAGGTACTTACGCACAAGCCACGACACCTCTCGCAAAAACTACGACGGTTTAGGATGCCAATTCAAGTGCAGTCCAATAGGTGAACCAAAATGGGCCCGTCTTTCACGACAAAGTGAGGGCACTTATTTTTCTGCGTCTTAGTGTCAGAACGTAATCCAAAGATTGTCCCATATGCATGCAGCGACCGCCACTTACTAGGACGGCAAGACGAGCTGCCCAGGCTCTTCTGCAGAGGAGGCAAAAGAGCGGCCGGACTGTACGACAAGGAGACTCCGCCTTCGTCATAGATGCATGCTCCTTGCTGGCAACGGTGTCCACGCAGACAGCAGCCATTTTTCTCACTGGAACTGCCTGTGCCGCTTTTGTAAAGGCAAGGCACTCCTCTGTCGTAGGGACAACAGTCATAGCTGTCTGAACCAGGAGAAGTGTTCATGCAGCTGCCGAGGATGCATTTGCTGCCGTCGGGACATTTTAGAACAACAGATCCATGGGCACCACCTGGACAGATAAAAAGAAATGTTGCCCAGTAACTCGGGTGTACTTTTGCAACAGGACGAAGTAGAACTAAGCTCGTACCCCCCTTTCCACCTTGACGTCACATCCAACTTCAACCAAATGACTGCCAGTTCACACGTGTCTTCCCTGGTACCCCTTTCAAGCTTACATGAATTCTAGTTTTCACTCTAGCTTTTAACCACCTCTAGTTGAGAAATTCTGTTTGTTGTTTACTCGCCTGTTGTCTGCACTTTACCTTCTTTTGGTCTTTGTCTCTCCGTTTACAGCCTGTAGGTATACAGTGCCCCTAATTACATAAAATAAATTGAAGTAACCAAGGATTACTGTGTCTTTAGGAACGGACATAGAACACTTTCTGCACTGGGCGTTGTAGTTTTCAATTCGAGGCATCATACAATGCAGATGTCCGTAAAGAAGCAGTCTGAACAGCGAAACGAATGAAACTTAAGGTGAGCATTGTGTAGGATTAGTGGCGAACGCTTCTTTGTGCTGACCATGAATAGTCCGCTTACGCATCACCCAAGTATCTCACAATGACGGAAAGCTTTACCCATCATGTTGATGTGCTGAATGGAGAGTATAAATGGACAACATAGTCGTGGCGACGTTAATTGCTGACAGGGTTTGTATAGGCTCCAAATAAAAAAAAGATGCAGTAAAATTAAGGGTACAGTTTCAGCCGATGAAAACCTGATATAAAAAAAAACATGGGGGATCCCTCTTTCATAGGAATCAGTCACGAAAATGAAACATGTCTCTAAAAAGGTAGTTGAACGCGTATTCTGCATTGTGCCCCCACAAGGGTTAAAGAGTAACATGTAATGTCATGCGAAAAACAACAAGTCCCTTGAAACTCGTGGCACATTCCTCAAGCACAAAGGACCCACGACAATAACATATATGCAGGATAAGCGCGAACTAACGACTGTCTCAGCTTGAAAATTAAAGCGATCCACTCAGGCACTTAGAAGGAGGTACAGAATGAACGCACATTCAAGTTACAGAGGACGAGCGCGAACAACTTTCACAATGGCTACTTGTGTGTGAGCAGCTTGCTCCTTTCTCAAGCGCGGCCGCTGCAGAGAACGAAGTTGGTTTCGTGCTCCCTGCAACATTCTACAAAACCTTTCTGTTATTTCGGCACCCATCACCAAAATCAAGTACACCATTCCACATCACATACACGAGAACCTATACAATCGCCCACTTCCAAAAAACATGCACCCTGAGCACCACAAAAAGCGCCGGAAGCAGCGTGTGAAGGCTCTCAAAAACAATTCTTATCCTAAAAAATATCCTCTCTCACGGCAGGGTTGCTACGGCCGCCTTCATTCCTGCCACTTCTTTGAAAGAAGTGGAAGAGGCGCACATAGCCGTGTCCCTCACAATACCAAAGCGACTCCAAAGCAGTTATACATAATTTCGGATCTGGCAAGGTTTCTGAGTCAGCCATTTTCCTACTTTTGCACCATACCTTTGATTGACTTGAGCACTAGTCTGGACTCCCTTGCATGTGGGCCTTGCCGGAAACGAGCCGGCTCATTGGTCATTCTGTGCCAAATGTCGCAGCCATTTTGGTGATTATCTGAAATAAATTAAGAAAAAAAAAACGTCGCGCTTATTTAATGCGTTGAAAACTGAATTGCTAAAAACGTGGCTGCCTTCTGAACTTCTCAGAATGTCGTCTGGCTGTTGTTTGTGAAGCAAAAATTCTGTTAAAAGTACCACTTTTTCTTTCTACACTAAATTTGGTCTACATGTTAAGCAAAAACCTATGTAGGGTGTTTGAAGCTCAATAATATTAATGTACTTTCTTGCCACAGACGCCTCCAAGAATTAAGCCAAAATGTGTTATGTTTGCGCTTTTTCTATTAAAATACTGCAGATTTTATGAATATCTGAGCAGTGGATACCTACATCACAGAGGGTGCATCTTGAGAATAAGACACCTTCGTAATTCTCAAGGTGTTAAATATCATGAGAAAAAAGTCGTCATTTTTGTCCGTATTGAGACGGTATTTGATCATGTGGTGGTCAAATAAAAATTACCTTTATAGCTAAATTGCAAGCAAATGAAGAGTTAAATCTTCTGAAATAGCGAATTTTATATTACACTTTTTCTTTGAAGGAAGAAATTATTAAGTTTCCCAAAGGCGGCGATCTTTTAATTTGGTCATACAGCAGCTGACGTCCTAGAAATTTGCCATTGCCGTCAATGAGAAACTTTGGAAATTATTTTGCTCTATAATATAGAACGGAGACAGTCAAAACTGTTATCCGAGACCAGGTAGGAGCGTAGGCCTAGCTATCAAAATCAGCGACAGTCCGGGCCGAGCGTGTCTGCTTAGCACTGACAATGTGTGTGCCGAGATTTGCATGACCCACTACAATCATCATTACATATTTCCCCCTCGCTGAAGATGGTGCCAAGTAAGCGTTCTAAGGTGTCGTGAGGACAAGTGGTTCGTGATATGGTTTGAGGCGATTCACATGTACGATTTCGCGGCCTCGGCGACGCAGGTCCACAGTGGCCGTGAGGGGTTCGATGAGGTAGTTAACAGCGAAAGTTTGTTCTATGACGCGATAAGGTCCATGGTACCTGCTGACAAACTTTGTAGAGGTACCAGGAGCAGCACTGGGGGGCACCCACAGCCAAACAAGAGAGTTGGGCGAAAATTGGTAGTTGGACCGTTCATCGTCGTGACAAAATTTCTGTAGCCCTTGTTCTTGTGTTGTAAGGGTGCGAGCTAATTGCCGACATTCTTCCGCATACCGCGCGGCTTCGGAAAGTGGTGTGCCTTCGGATGAGTCGGGTCGGTAGGGGAGAATGGTGTCAATTGGAGATGATGGTTCTCGACCATAAAGTAAAAAGAATGGAGAAAAGCCTGTCGTCGCTTGAGGTGCCGTGTTGTAAGCGTACGTTACGTAAGGAAGGATAAGATCCCAGTTGGTGTGGTCGGAGGCGACATACATAGAAAGCATGTCGCCAAGAGTACGGTTGAAACGCTCGGTCAAGCCATTTGTTTGTGGACGATATGCGGTAGTACAGCGGTGAATTACATGGCATTCTGCAAGAAGTTCTCGAATAACATCCGCGAGAAAGACGCGGCCTCGGTCGCTCAAAAGTTCACGTGGAGCGCCATGACGCAGAACAAAACGTTGCAGCAGGAAAGACGCAACGTCACGTGCCGTCGCGGCTGGTAGAGCGGCCGTTTCTGCATATCTCGTGAGATGGTCGATCGCTACAATAATCCAGCGATTCCCAGCTGATGTATATGGTAGAGGACCATAAAGGTCTATTCCAACCCGGTCGAATGGTGGCACTGGGCACGGTAACGGCTGCATTGGTGCAGTAGGACGGCTAGGATCGTGCTTGCGGCGTTGGCACTCTGTGCAAGATCGAATGTACTTTTGAACGAATGTGTACATGCCGCGCCAATAAAATCGAAAACGTAGCCTGGCGTAGGTTTTAAACAAACCGGCGTGCGCACACTGCGGATCGGCATGGAAAGCAGCACATATGCTGGCGCGGAGATGCCTGGGTATGACGAGTAGCCATTTGCGACCGTCAGGGTGGTAGTTGCGGCGATAAAGTATTCCATCACGGATGGCGAAGTGAGAGGCTTGTCGGTGTAGCGCTCGAGATGGCGGGTGGGCGAGTGTTTCAGATAGGTAATCCATCAGAGACGCAATCCACGAATCTTTGCGCTGCTCCGCAGCCATGTTGATGGGTTCTGATAGTGGAAGGAAGTTGTCTTGGATGGAGACACTCGCAATATCAGTAGAAACAGGCGAACGCGAAAGAGCGTCGGCATCGGCGTGCTTCTGGCCTGAGCGATAAATGACGCGGATGTCGTACTCTTGGAGCCGTAAAGCCCATCGTGCCAAGCGTCCTGAGGGATCTTTGAGGGAGGATAACCAGCAGAGCGCGTGGTGGTCGGTAACAACATCGAAAGGGCGGCCGTACAGATAAGGCCGAAATTTTGTAATGGCCCAGATAATCGCTAGGCATTCTTTCTCTGTTACCGAATAATTTGCTTCTGTTCTTGTAAGAGTGCGGCTCGCGTACGCAACAACATATTCTTGGTAACCAGGCTTTCGTTGGGCGAGTACAGCGCCAAGACCGACACCGCTAGCATCTGTGTGGATTTCTGTGGGAGCGCTTGAATCGAAATGACGCAGTATCGGTGTTGTTGTAAGCAGTTCACGGAGCTTCGCAAAGGCACTGTCGCAAGCTGGAGACCACGCAGATAGATTGCGGTCTCCCTGAAGTAGGTCTGTCAGAGGCGCCATGATCGAGGCGAAATCTCGGACGAAGCGGCGGAAGTATGAGCAAAGCCCAATGAAACTACGCAGCTGCTTGAGAGACGCGGGCCTCGGGAACTCGCGAACAGCACGTAGCTTAGCGGGGTCAGGAAGAACGCCATCCTTCGACACGACGTGTCCGAGAATGGTCAGCTTGCGCGCTCCAAAGTGACACTTCTTCAAGTTGAGTTGGAGGCCGGCTGCAGAGAGGCAGCGTAGAACCTGTTCCAAGCGACGAAGGTGCGTGGAAAAATCGGGTGAGAATACCACTACATCGTCTAAGTAGCACAAACACGTGTTCCATTTGAGGCCTCGTAGGATAGTGTCCATCATGCGCTCAAATGTTGCCGGCGCATTGCATAGCCCGAAGGCATCACGTTAAATTCGTATAAGCCGTCTGGTGTAACAAATGCAGTTTTTGGCCTATCATCCGGATTCATGGGCACTTGCCAGTACGCAGAGCGTAGATGAAAGGAGGAAAAGAACTCTGGGCCTTGTAAAGAGTCGAGGGCGTCATCGATTCGAGGCAAAGGATCAACATCCTTTCGTGTTATTTTGTTTAGGCGACGATAATCTACGCAAAAGCGTATCATGCCATCCTTCTTTTTAACTAAAACAACCGGCGACGCCCAAGGACTGTTTGACAGTTGAACGACGCCTCGCTTTAGCATGTCACCTACTTGTTCATCGATGATACGGCGTTCAGTTGGCGAAACACGGTATGGTCGCTGGCGTAGTGGTGGGTGATTACCTGTGGCGATCTGGTGGCATACGGTAGATGTGCGACCTAAAGTAGCGCTGTGACTGTCAAAAGATGGTCGAAACTTGTCAAGGAGGCTCAAAAGCTCACACCTCTGTTGTGAGTTTAGGCCTTCGTCGATGACACGGTTGAAAATGTCGGTAGTGGAAGGGTCATTCACGGAACTACAGGAGAGGGCGCTGACTTCCGATGATTCATCAGGAACGTCAAGTGTAGCGATGGTTTCGAATGATTCTATCGAACCAATACATTCGCCTCGAAGTAGCGTAATCGTGAATGGGAACGGATTCTTCACAGGCACGTTAGTCGCACCACCTTGAAGAGTAACGAGAGCGGTTGGGAGCGGTGATAGGTGGCGATGAACGAAAGCAGCGGAAGGCGTGAAGAATTCGGTAGCGTCGACGACGGTGGAACACGACACAGGTGCGAAGACAGTAGCGCGTGGAGGGATTTGGGTGTCGTCACTAATGACCAACTTCGCGTCGGAAGGGCGATCGTGCACTGGTAGCGCATCACCAAGGGGACAAAAGGCGACTTCGGCACGGGCGCAATCAATGACGGCTTGGTGATGGGAGAGAAAATCCCAACCTAAAATGATGTCATGAGAACAGTGCGGGAGTACTACGAACTGGACTGTGTAGGGCACTCCTTGAATTACAAGTCTGGCAGTACACGCGGCCACAGGCTGCACAGGCTGTGCAGTGGCAGTATGAAGACATGAACCCAAGTAAGGCGTTGTCACTTTTCGAATTGAACGGCAAACTTTTTCGGCGATGACAGAAATTGCGGCACCAGTATCAATAAGGGCAAGTACGGGTACACCTTCAAGAACGGCATTAATTACATTCGGCGGCGAACGAAGAGGGCTTGTGCTTTGCGACGAGGACGCAGTTCTTGCCTCGGGAACTGCGTCATTTAGTTTTCCGCGTCGATTGTAGTTGGGCGTCGGCGCATCGGGGAGGGCGAGCGTCGACGTGGAGAAGGAGATCGGTGATCAGGAGCTGGTCGGTGGCTTGGACGAGGAGCGTACAATTCGGGGTCTGGGGTGTATTCAGTGTACGTGTAATCGTTTTCGTATGGACGTAGGTTTTCACGTGAGTGGAGTGGGCGGCGGCGGCACAGACGTGCGACGTGGCCAGGTAGACCACACGAAAAGCAGATCGGTCGGTTGTCGGCAGTGCGCCATGGATTAGGGACTCGCAAAGTGGAGGTCGTGGCGGCCGGGCGGCATAAACAGGAGCAGGCTGTGGAGGCGGCGCTTGGAACGGCTGTGGTCGTGGTCGTGCTGCTGCTTCGGCGTACGTCAATGGTGCATTGACTGGTGGCACCAGCTCTGGAGGAAGGACCTCAGACACTTGATCTCGTATAATAGTCCGTAGAGTAGGGCTAAGCGGTGCACTGCGCTTCGGTAGGCCAGAGATGAGCGAGAGTTGGCGGGCAACTTCTTCGCGCACGAAATCTTTGATCTGCGAGAGGAGGACGGGGTCTTGCGAGGGAGTTAAGCCGGACATCGATTCCTG